GATTGGGAGGGGCATCCTAGAGTGAAAACGTTTCTCTGGCTACTCCTTGGTGAAAATATTCTAAAAAATCTGAGAAGAGTGCGGAGACACATGGCAGTTTCTAGTGTTTGTCCTAGATGTATGTCTGCTCCTGAAAGTTGTCTTCATGTGATGAAAGATCGTAGTTGGTCGAAAAAGGTTTGGAGATCATTTATCAGTCCTGGAAAGTGGTCAGAATTTAGCCTCTTCAAACATGGCTATGTGTTAATCTGGAGCCAAGAAAATGCATGATGGAAGGAACCAAAGGTAATATTTTATTTGGTTTAGTTTGCTGATTTATCTAGAAAGAAATAAATAAGTTTGTTTTTGAAAGAGAAATCCCTTGTGAGGGTAATACTGCCAGATCGGCTTGTTCTTATCTAGCTAACTTTCTGGAAGCTAAAGTCATGTATAGCAAAGCTGGGCTACAGGACAGAACTAGAAGGGAGACTCTGGTGCAGTGGTCACCACCTCCCATTGGTTGGATAAAAATTAATACTGATGGATCATCTAAGAGAGATAGCATGAAGAGTGGATGTGGTGGAGTCTTAAGAGATGAGACTGGTCATTGGCTGAGGGGATTTGCTAGGAATCTTGGAGTATGCAGTTCAGTAAAAGCTGAAATTTAGGGAATTTTTCTGGGACTTCAAATGGCATGGGATCTTGGTCATAGAAGAATAATCATGGAAGGAGATTCAAAGGTAGCTCTTGATTTGATAAGAGAAGGAGTTTTTGCTAACCATCCTTTAACTGGGCTAATTAATAAGATCATCCAGCTTTGGAATTATGATTGGCAGGTGAAATTTACTCATATCTATAGAGAGGGAAATGGGACAGCTGATTGACTTGCGAACTTTGCCATTACTTTAGGTTGTGAGACTGTTTTCTTTGACCATCCTACTGAAGGATGTGTGGAAGTTTGGGGAGTGACTTTAGAGGAGTAGCCTGGCCTAGAATGGTCAGAGAGCTGTAGTTTGTTTTTAATTCCGTTTGTATTAAAAAAAAATAGTTTTGTGTATTTCAACATCATTTGTTTGATTCCTACTTGTTAAAGTAAGGGTGTTTCTAAATACAAAATTAAAAAAAATAATTTAGTTTTATTTAGTAAAATTTTGGGATTTGTATTTGTCATTTAACATGACACAACAAACTTTCCTACACACAATATTTTGTGGGGCCCACACTTTTTGAAGAAAAAAAACTATGGCACGCGAATCTCTATAACATTACACAATCACTTTTCCTACAACATAACTCTTATAAAACCCAAAATTTTTATATGAAAATTTATTTATTTAGATTAATTTTTATTTTATTTATAAACTGCAAAACAAAACCCAATAAAACTTGCATAGTTATACATTACTGCAATTGTATATCATATAATTTGATTTTAATTTTTTAGTTTTTTAATTACTAACTTGCATTCATAGTTGCTCATTTACATTTCCACTTTTTTTTTTCTTTCCAATCATGTTTAATTATTTGGCATTTGTAACAACTTCGGTATACAAGTTTTCATATCAAATAGTATTACTGAATTTGTAAATATAATAATAGATATTAAAAACCATGAAAAAAATAAAAATGATTTTTTAAAATATTTAATATATTACTTTCCATTTCAGTGTGCAAGCAGTCATATTCTACGCAGTGTTATAGAAACCGGACCGGACCGGACCGACTGGTCTAATCGGTTGGCCCGGAAATCGGCCGATCAACTGGTCTGGTTACAGCATTGGGCCGAAACCCAACACATTGGAGTGAGGAGAACCGTTTCATATCACTAGGCCACTATCACTAGTTGAATAAAATGCACCATTTAATATATTTATTATATAACTATTAAGTTAAGATAATTATTTCAAAAATTGCATGTAATGGGGTTTGATTACCTTTTTTTTTTTTTGGAGTTACCCAACCCTAATTATCTCTTTGAGACGAGTTGGCTCCCTCTGGTATCCCCACGAGCTTCGACTCTTTGAGCTGGCTATGGACTAATCCGGAGTGCGGGAGAACAGTGATAGCTAAAGGTTCGGGGTTTGATTACCTTGCATTGAGGATATATAATATAGCAAATACCACTAAACTACAACAGGTTATTGTTTAGATGACACCAATTAAAATATTTATTATATAATTAAGTATAAAATATAAATTTATATATATATTCGGTTCATGCGGTTCAACCCGTGACCCATCGGTTAAACCATTGACGCAGTAACCCGGTACCTCGATCTAATCAATGACCAATCCGGTTCTAATAACATTAATTCTACGCATATTTAATAGTAGTTATTAATTGGTTGGGGGGGGGGGGGGGGGGGGGGGGGGGGGGGGGTGGTTGTGTGTTTGCATTTTTAAACCCACACTAATTAATTTCTGTTCTTCGGGATGCATTCCCGCGTTCATCTCTCAGAAAAATTTGTTATTAGATTAATTAGTTAATTATTTGTCTATACAATAATTAAATAAATATAAATTCAATAAGGAAAAACTATTTTAATAAATTTTTAATAATAATTACTGTATAACTCTGTTAAGAAATACCATATATATATATATATATATATATATATATATATATATATATATATATATATATATATACACTATTTCCATTATTTACGTACTATACAGCTACTATATAAATCTCCTATCAGATAAGCATCATCTATCAAATAAAGAATCATATTAAATATAAATTTATTAAAATTAACTATAAATTTTATTTATCAATAATATTTATAATATTAATTGAATTTATTACCCACCTACCACTCGTGTTTAATTATTTGGCATTTGTAACAACTTCGGTATACAAGTTTTCATATCAAATAGTATTACTGAATTTGTAAATATAATAATAGATATTAAAAACCACGAAAAAAATAAAAATTATTTTTTAAAATAATTAAATATTACTTTCCATTTCAGTGTGCAAGCAGTCATATTTTACGTATATTAGCATATTTAATAGTAGTTATTATTTTAGGGGGGAGCATTTTTAAACCCACACTAATTAATTTCTGTCCTTTGGGATGCATTCACGCATTCTTCTCTCAGAAAAATTTGTTATTAAATTAATTAGTTAATTATTTGTCTATATAATAATTAAATAAATATAAATTCAATAATAAAAAATTATTTTAATAAATTTCTAATAATAATTACTGTATAACTCTGTTAAGAAATACCATGTATATACTATTTCCATTATTTACGTACTATACAGCTACTATATAAATCTCCTATCAGATAAGCATCTATCAAATAAAGAATCATATTAAATAAAAATTTATTAAAATTAACTATAAATTTTATTTATCAATAATATTTATAATATTAATTGAATTTATTGCCCACGTACCACTCTCTACCTATTAAAGTAATGGTGATCATAATTAAAACAATTTAATTTAAACAAAAAAGTTTAGTTAGAAAATTGAACAAAACCAATTAAGTTTCATATTTTTTATTTTGAAAAAAATATTTATCATTTTAAAGGATATAATTTTGTATTATTTTTTTAAAATAATATTTTTCCTAGTAAATTAGGAGAAAAAAAGTAGGGGAGAGTATTGTGGATAAGAAAATGTAAAAAGCCAGTAAATATGCACTAAAATGGAGTCGTTTATCTTAAAATGACATAAAATTGTGTCATTTAAAATAAAAAATGCTTTTCCCTTTAATTTTTATAGGAAAATTAATTAATTTGTTTTATTTTTTATATTCATTAAAATTCAAAACAGAACCAAATCAAATTTGCGTAATTATACATGATTATAATTGAATTTTAAATTTTTTATTTTTAATAAAATTTTTGATTCAATTTTTTATTAATATTTTTTTTGGTAAATTTATTCATTGGGTCATGAAAAAATAATAGTTAAATTTAGTTGTATTTTTTTTAAAAAAAATTTCTTCAAAAACCAATTGAACTGAATTAAATCAAATCAATAAAAACTAATCTGGTATGGATGGTTATTCGATTAGAAACAATTTTAAATGTATAAAAACTGATTGGTTTGGTTAGGATAATATTTTTAATTTTAAAACCACATCAAACCAAGGGAGTCTGGAAATTTCCATGAAACTTTTTGCAATTTATTACAAATTAAAGGAGTAAGTTAAAATTGCATGAATGAATCACTAGTATAATATACTTTTTAGCTGTTCCCAGTTTCTCTAGATCAGAGGGTCAAGATTTAACTTGACAAATTCAATGAATATTACAGGGCGAATGTCATTCACTGTTTCTAGAAAAAATTAAAAATATATTTTAAGAGTATTTTTAAATAAAATTTAATTACTTTGATTGAGAAAGCAAGAATGTGTTGACTTTTATTTAATTTAAGGGTTTTATAAGAGTTATGTTGTAGGAAAAGTGATTGTGCAATGTTATAGAGATTCGTTTTGCGTGCTGTAATTTCTTTTTTTTTCTTCAAAAAGTGTGGGCTCCACAAAATATTGTGTGTGTAGGAAAATTTGTTGTATCATGTTAAATGACAAATATAAACCCCTTAATTTAAAATACATTATAATAATGTACCAAGACAAAAGTACATTATAATATGAATTAAATAAAATTTAAAGATTAAGAGAAAAGTGTTTGTCATTATAAATGACATAAAATTATGTCATTTTAAGAGAGAGAGATAAACACAAAATAATTTTTTTTTATTTAAAATTTAAATTAAAAAAACCATTCACCTTCTCTCTCCCATGATTTTCATTTTTCTTCCATGATTTTCATTTTTTGTGTTTAACTCTCTCTTAAAATGACATCACTTATATCATTTAAGATAACAAACACCAAACCCAAAGATTAATATATCTTATTTACTTTAAAACAGTTTTTTTTTTTTCCTTTTTAAGCAGTGAAAAAGCCATATATATTTATTTGTTCTGTAAGAGAGAATGCATATGTTGATAGCGTAGTCACACACAGCTAAAAGTTAAAGATTGTGAAGCCATTCATAATGGTGGCGTGGCCTGTGATCAAGCTTGGAACGCTTGCACTGAGAACATTTTGCGAACCAATTGCCAATTACCTCAAAAAAGAGGCTGTCTATCATCCAAAAATCCGTCAGTATATTATCAACTTTGCGCAGGTACTTGTTCTGTTTTTTAATCGCTGTCTTAGATTTGAATCGTTTGTGTTATTCAGAATTTCAACTAGTACACTTTTATGTGAGGTTCACACAGACATAGTGAATTTTACATGATTATGTACCAGGCCAGTCATAGGCTTGCATGAAAGGAGAGTCCAAAGACGCATATATGATTATGCTGCTGCTGATTATGTACCAATACAGCCTTTGGATGAGGACAAGGCTATCGGAGCCGGTGTAGATCTTCTAAGGGAGTTCTTCGTATTCACGGTAATAATTTGGATAACATCGTGAAGTTCATGCTGATGTGCGTGTTTTTTGTTCAAGAAATTTTTAGTTCCTGTAAAATCATTTCAGAAACTAAAAATTATTTTATGGGTTTTATAATTCTCGTTTAACATGAGAATTATAATTTTCCTACACAGCCCTTCGATTTCCGTGCTGACATGAGTCCTACATATAATTTTTTCTAACACATGGGTCTCACATGTTTTTTATCTCTACAACATGAGATTTCAATTCTCCTTCAACATGAGAATTATAAAACCCTTATTTTATATACATGAATAATTTTTATGATTCCTGATTGATGACAAAACAAATTAAAAGAAATTTGATATTGATGCAAAATTCGTGCGAATTTATCCATAGTAGTATATTGAGAATTTAAATTTTGTTTTATTCTATTTATCCACTATGTACATGCAATGGTCTTCCCAAACAATGTTATAGCCTGTTGAATATGTGTTTTTCCTTCTATTAGGTTGTAGGATCTACAGTCATCTTCAAGGTATCCGAAGCAAGAAAGGAAGAAGAACGACGTAGACAAGAGGATGAACTACTTGAAGAGGAAATTGAACTGCGTAGACAGGAAATTGAACTACTTAGACAGGAAAATGAACTACTTCGACAGGAGAATGAACTACTTAGACGTGTGCTGCGGCGTAGACAAGAGACTGAACTACATAGACAGGAGTTACAATTTATCTTTTAGCCTTTCTGTCAGTTGTGGATTATGCAAGATGAGTGTGATGTTGGAAAATTTTATTTACGTGGGAAATATTAATTAATTAGTTTTTTTTTTATATTAATAGGGTTAGTAGATATTCTCATTATGATATTTTGATTAGTCTGTTGGGATCATATTGAGCTGTGCTTTTGGCATCATTGATATTGGACTTAGTTGGGCAGTAGTTTAGGATAGATTTCCCATCTAGCCTTTTTATATTGGAGTTAAGTTCCATTAGCTGTCATTCTCCCATAGTTGAGGCTATCATTTTCGGAATAGGTGATAGAGAGGAAGATCCTAGAATGCAGTCCCTTCTTTCCTCCGATTTTGTGATGATCCAACAAGATATGCACATTTAATTTCATATTGTTTGGTACTTTATAATCATAAATGATCCAAAAAATTTAATTATTTTATTTGGTATCAACGAAACTGGGTATATATATTTTTTTAAGGTTGAAACTGTATGCATTAATTCATGAACTTGTTCAATTGAATTAAGAACTTTTGGGGCTTTTGTTTTACAAGTCAAGATCCTTCCATTAATATATGTTATATATGTGTGGAAGATTGAAGGAGAATTTGTATTCTCAAACTTTAGGGTTTATAGGTTAAGAAGATAAAAAAAAAGGGGAGTTATTTTTCGTTTTGTAGCAGCTGATGGGAAAGTATTCCGAACCAATTTGATCACTAAACAACCTATAGAGATAAGATTTTTCCCTGAATGCGTTGTTTGGACACATGTGATTAGAACTCCTCTGCCTCATAAAGACATTTTGATAGGCATAGATGTCTATACCAAGGCCAAAAAGCTTCAGATTCTTCCTCAAGGAGTAAGATTCAATTTATATATAAATAAATGAGAAAAAGTGTGTCATTTTAAAGGATGCAAAGTTATTTCATTTTAAGTGAGAAAAAGAGATAGATAAAAGGGAGAGAGACTGGACAAAAAAAATAAGATATGATTCCACCTCTCTGTGAGAGTAAAATGACACAAGTTCTGACATTTAAAAAGATAAATATTTTTTCCTAAATATATATACCTTTGCTAGTATATACATCATCAATTATAGGGGTGTTCATCAATCGATCAAACCGATTCAAATTACGGTGGTCGAACCGAAAAATTAAAATCGAATAAATCAAAAATCGAAAAACTGAAAACCTAATTGGATTGGTTCGATTTTCGATTTGGTTGATGAAAACCGATCTAATTCAAACCGATCCAATATATTAATTTCTCTCTGCCTACTTGAGCCTTTCCCCCATCATAGTCAAAAAAATTTTAAATCCAAGACCCATTAACTCATCAACTAAACTTAAGAAAAAATCTAATCATATCCCATTAGCAAAATTTCATCTGTGTAGCTTCATATCTCATTGCAAAAAAAAAAAAAACTATATTATCGTTTACTCATGCTTCTGTATTAAATTCTTTTTTACAAAGACAGTATATATAAAACATGTTATTTGCACAATAATTATGAAATAAAGTTTAGGTTTTTCAAAAAATCAAAAATCTGTCAAATCCAAACTGAAAAAATTTGAATTGGATCGAAGCAATTTGAAAAAAAACTAAATCGAATGAATAATTATATGAATAAAATAAAAGAATTGGACCAAATAATTTTTACTTTCAAAACTGATTCATTAGAAACTGCAAACACCTCTAATCAATCGTTCCCTTTTGAATTGCAATGGCATGAAACTCAGGAACGTGTAGGTTTTGGTTTTCGTGTTTTGTCCTATAGCCATCTTTATCGTTTTAAAGCCTGTTCCACAAAACCATTTAAAGCTTTTTTATTTTTTCATTAAAATATTCAGTATACAGACTCCATTTGTTTTATCTAATTGTTGTATTCTGTCAACAAGTAAAGATACCCATCTAGATTTGTTGCATAGTTGACCAGATATACCGCATTACTGCACAAATATATATTTTATTTGTTTTGAAAAAAACAGTTTGAAAGGTTATCAACTTGTTAGCGATCAAAATTCCTCCTTTTACGCTTAATATTTTATTTTATAGATTTTTTATATATTTTCAAATATACAAGAAAGTGTTGGGAACTCGATTCTTTCGGATCGGCTCAGGGGCCTATGCGAAAGTCAGTTAATGAGATTCTCGATCTCAGATCTCAGCAATACCTCGGCCTGAATTTCACCAGGTCGGGCAGCGCAGCGGAAAAATCAGAACGTAAATACGGGAGAGAGAAGGAGAGAGAGAACACAAGCAATTTTTAACGTGGAAAAACCTTCTCCAATGAAGAAGTAAAAACTCACGGGGGGACTAGTCCAGATCAAAAATCCACTATAAAAATGATGGTTACAAAATAATCAGAATACACCAATGTGGTGGTTAACTCAACTTCTCCAACAATGGTGATAATCAAACTACCCTAGAGATGTTTCACATTTTATTATTTTTTCTTGGTTGGTTTCTCTGCTCTGAGCATGTCTGATATTATTTTATTATTGAGCTATTGGGATTAAAGTTTTCTCTGACCCTGATGTATTTACTCTCATATGAAGAAGACATTAGATTAAAAATGATGCAAACTAAGACTTTTAAATTGTATCAGAACAATAGTGAATTGGGAAATTGACAAGGAGAACTTGAGTTTGATGATATAACTTTTCTTTAACTTCATTCGAATATGTGTTTTATACTTTGATATTTTAATACTTTAATTAGCTTGTGTAATATTGACTTGTGAATGTAATTGGTTGAATTATATTAAGTATATTTTGGATCTTTGATGATTGATGGTTTACTTTTTTTGAACTTTTCATATATGATATGTAATTATATTTTTTAAATATATAAAACCGAGTCAGACAAGTGGCCCCTGACCTCAGCAGAGTCGATGGTGAGGCCGAGTTTTTAAACACTGATTGGATTATGATTATCATTTTATTGATTTTAATATAAATATTTGTGATATCTTATGGATTTTTACAAAATTGATGAGTATTATAAGTTTAGCGTCATTTTTTAATTATTGAATATTAAATACAATAAACAGTATATAAATTAAAAATATTATTTAATATCAAATAATTTCGAATCTAATATTTTTTAGCATTAATATGTCAGAGTATCGTGTTGTGTCATATCTCATGTCTCGAGTCGGTGCAATATAGCCTATGGTAATGAAGATAGAAAGTCCAAATCTTTATTGTTGCAACAGTCAAGTACTTTGCTTAGCTTTGGATGGGGTACATAATACTTAAATTTATTCGAGTCATAGCATTTAATTTGAAAAGAAACGTAGTTGCTTTTAAGAATATGAGATAAACGGGTTAGGATTATATCTTAATTTCGGCAAGATACAACATATAAAATTGTTAAAGATTTTTTCTAACTTTTGTTTCTACCATTCTCTTGCTTTTGTGCAGGTTGAATTTCGAAGCAGCGATATAAGATTTTCTGCTTGCTTTTTAAGATTTATGGCCACAAATTCTAATCACAGAAAAAGGCTATATTTTCACAGGAAAAGGATGTGTACATATAATTGTCCAGAGAAGCCAGCTCTCATTGGTAGCTAGGGGTGTTAACGGGCGAGTCGTGTCGAGCTTTGGTCTTAAAAGATTAAGTCTGTGTTTGAATGTGTCAGCCTGATCAAGATTATTACCTGTTATGAATATAATTCCAGCCTGTGACCTGTCTTATTTACAAAAAATAAAAACCTGGTTTAGTCTGTTAGCCTGTTTAAAACAAAATAAGACAACAAAAATTTATCCAAATAAAATATACAGTCGACAGCACTTGTAATTTCATAAATATTCATAAATTTAATGTATATCCAAACAGCATAATATAAAACAAAATCATTCAAAAAGTCTGTTTAATTAATAAAATAGGATGAAATAGATTGAGGAGAGAGAGATAGCTATCACAAATAGTATAAAAAATATAAGATAAAATTAAAAATTAATATATTAGGCCAGCCTGAGAGACTCTAAGGCCGAGCTTTTAAATTAGAGTCTGATGCCTTTTTATTAAACAAGCTTTTATACAAGTCCTAGCCTGGTCCAACAATAAATTTTAGAGATAAAAGTTCAGGCTTTCACGAGCCGAGCCAAAGGCCCCTGTAAGCCTCCTGACTCGTTTAGCACCCCTGGTGGTAGGATTAGGCATTAGCACTAGATTGTTCTTTTTATTTGTAGCCAATCTTTACCATGTATCAGAATTGTAATAATTTTCTCGTATAAAAAATGAAAATAAATTATATTTTTTCTATATCGGGTTAATTTTTTTGGTAATAAAATTAAGTTACTTTACTAATGGATGGTCTATTTACAGACCGTGCTGATATAATGCTAGCCACATGTCAACTTAATTCACAACTATTAAAACTTGTCCCCCCCTTCACATGTTTACTGAAAAATAAAAATAAAATAGGGATGTACATGAGTCGAATTAAACTGATTTTTTTGAAAAATTGAATCGAATTGGTTTAAACAGTTCGATTCAAAAACGTTTCAGTTTGATTTAAAACAGATTTGGTTCGGTTCGGTTTAATTTTTTGGTTATTTTGTATATCCCTATATAGTAAAGTAAGGGTGTTTATAATTTCAAAATTAAAACAATTTAACTTAAATAAAAAAATTCGAAATAGAAAATTAAACAAAAAATAATTAAGTTTCATTTAGTAAAATTTTTAAATGATAATTAAATCATTTAGTAAATTTTTTAAATGATAATTAAATTATTTAGTTCAATTTTTATTTTATTTACAAAACTCCAAAACATAACCAAATAAAACTTGCATAATTATACATTACAGCAATTGAATTTCATATAATTAGATTTTAAATTAAATTTTTTTAATTACGTACATGCATTCATAGTTTCTCATTTACTTTTCAACTTTTTTTCCCTCTCTTTGCAATCATAATTGATTATTTGGCATTGGTAACAAGGATAAAAGTTTGGGTTTATTGTTTCTCTTGTTTTAGGAGATAAATTTATCTTTTATATA